TAAGTGTTTGAGCTCACGACAATTCTTCTTTAAGTCTAGAGATTGATTTTCACATTGTGTATTGCCATTCCCAAACAAGATGTGCATTTGGATTAGGCATACTTAGGCTGTTCAGGTTGTTCTTCTTTCTAATTACGTATACTTATGTTCAGGTTTTGTAGATGCTGGATCACCTACTCTTGGATCCAGTCGGTCATGGAAGTCCATGGAAATGGAAATCCAATCTCTGCTTGAGAAGCTATTGGATACAAATGATGCTATGAGTAGGTGTGCCGCATCTGCAGCACAAACTACTTCGGTAACGCAGAAGCTGGCAAGGCATAGAGACATACTGCACGAGTTTACTCAGGTTTATTTCTTTCGCTTTTATATGATCTAATTCGTGCTTGGTCTTGTTCCCATGAGTTCAGACTGATGCATTGGCTGGCAAGTGTTATAAGCACCAATGAAATATGGCATTTTTTGTAATACATTCCACAACATTGTTTCTGCAAATACTTAAATGTTACATGTAGTTTGTTTTCTTTATTTTCCATTTTAAGATATCGTAACTTAATGTGGGAAATATGAAAATTAGAGGCAGTAAAATCAATTCAAGATCACTTGCAGAGATAATCTGCTGCTTGTTCTGCTTCTGGTACTAATGTTGAACATGGGCCTTGAGTTTCGTGATATTCATATTACTGAAATGTCACCATTAGCCTACTTTTTAAGATTGGATGGTATTCGCGGTAGCTTGGGTTCCACTGATAACTATCAATCTATGTTTTTGTAATTTCTTAACATTTATTCCTTCTCAGTTTCTGAAAGGTGATACCATGTCTTCTCACCTGCAGTTACACAGATGTGTAACTGTAACTTTGAGTTTTGTTTCCAACTGATTTACCATTCTGCTTCGACATTGAATTATATTGTATGGAACTATAAATCCAGCAGCTGCTTGCATCATTCCCTTGACTTGTTTCATAGATTTATGAAGGAGTTTTTCACGTATATAAGTTGATTAGTTCTTCCATCCTATTGAGATGTTATTTGTTCTCATAGGAGTTTAGACGGATCAAAGGAAATATAAATTCAATGAGGGAACATGCAGAGCTTCTGAGTTTTGTTAGGGATGATATCAATGAATATAAGGTAATAGCAAACTCTAAATAATGTCATCATTTTAACTTTTAAACACTGCTATTGCTATTTGTTAAGTTACATTTCTGGTTTCTGCCTTTATGTAGGCATCCAGAAGTATGTCTCCAAAAAAGCAGTTACTACGAGAACGAGCTGCCATCCATGGAAGTATAGCTCACGTGAGATTAATGTTATTTATTTATTTACTATGTATCATGTTACATGCTTTTTGGAAGACAATTTCTACTTTTCTCTTTTCCATTTACTTGATTTTAGGAGAGGGTGTTGAGTTAGATGCTTTACAATGAATTAAGCAGAAGAATAAATTAATAAAAACAATATTACTCTAATTTAGATGTTTTTCCATGTACCATGTTTGCTTGTTAGTATTAATTTCCTTAGATCCTTGGGAACTTGGGATCTTTTGCACTTCCCCTTCTTTTTTTTCCTTTTTTCTTTTTCTTATGTTTGTTGGTGAAAATGTTTTGCACTTCCTTTCCCTCAAGTCAATTGCCGAAAACAACAATGTAAGCTGTGTTTGGCTTTTCCAAGTCACTTCTTTTTTAAAGTATTTAAAATTTTTTTTACTAAGTTATTTATATATTTTTGCATATTAATACTATAATAAAAAAGATAAAATTAATATTTTTATTTTTTAATTTGTTTATACAATTCTCAATTTATAAATTTTTATTTTTATATTTTTATAAAAGAGAAAGTTTTCTCCTAACTTTTTGTATGTAAGACATACCTAATAATTTTTTAGCCAACTTTTTTTATATTAATTTTTTTATCAAATGTAAAAAAGTTAATAATATAATAAAATTCTAACAAAATTTACCAACAAAAGTTATTAACTTGCTGTATAGTACTTTCTTAACTACTTTTATAGTAAAATTGGTTCATTAACCAAACAAGCCTTGGAGGTTTTTGGTATACCAATCGATTTGAAATTAATCTTAATTTAACAGTTTATAGTTGTTAGTATTAGAATCTAGACGTTCCTATTTATAAAGTTAGATGAAAATGACTCATTCTATTTATTTTTAATAGCTTTAATTTAATTTTTGAACTTTTTAGCTAGAAATTTTAATTAAAAATTTAATTACGGCTTGTCTTAATAGCCTTCCAAGGTAATGTTAATTCTTTTTTAATTAGGATTTCGATAAGCGAGGGCGTCTTATCATTGTTGGAGACGTATTACTCTCAATGATACTTCTAACTTCTAAACTTTGTTTTTTTTTCCAATTAAACCACACAATCTCTAAGACAGTATCTCCGGATTCAATTTTGACGATTTTTAGCATCCAAATTTGCCCGCAATCTAATGCAATGGGAAATTTGCAGATTCCCCATTAGCTTTCTTGGCAAGAGAAGAATGGAGGAGGGGTTGTAGATTCGTGAAGGTCCAGTACGTTGGTAAGGACAAGCTTTCGGGTCTCTCTTTTCCTTGTAGAGAAGGAATACACACACACGTATGTATATAAGAAATAGAGATTGTATTAAGAGAAAAGTGAAAATCAAAATGTTCTAACCTTTCAAATTTTAGGACTTTTTGTAAAATTGTTCAAATATCTTGAATGAATATTTTTTTGTGTGTTGACTCATTAAGGGTGTTTTAGTTTTTTCATTATCATTCATGGTATTTTAATTGCTAGAAAGTCCTAATTTTCCTTAATCCCTTGTATTAAAATAATAAAATTAAGAGTACATATAAAATATAAATCCTTATATCACAGCCTATAGTCAAAGCATAAACATATCTACAACATTAAATACAAATGAAAACTATATTATGATGGATATAAACAATTAAGTATAGAGAGTCATCTCTATAAATATAATAATAGCAATTGTTGTAATGGCATAAATAGATCTACTAACATAGAAAGAAAGAAGCTATAAGCATCTTAAACTATAAGCCATTCTCAATTGTTATGTCAATTTCTTGGAGAGAACAAGTAGTTTGGTGAGTAATAGTCCCTACCCACTAAATGTCATATCGAAGAGGGGATTTACTAGTCCAAAAGATAGTTAAGAGTCTCCTCCATAGATCACCAAAGCCATGCCCGAACTAATCCCAAAGAGAATTTGAGTCTCTATCATCCTCCTAACCATGCCACCAACAACCAAAGTATGTGCTGCAACTAGTTCAAGTCTTGCTAGCCCCACCACTACGCTATTGTCCTCTTCAAAATTGAGGTAAAAACCCTATGAAAAACAATATGAGAGCTTAGACAAACAACCCTTGTGACACCTCTAATCAAATCCCACAATATCAACAAAACATGAGAGAGATGCTAGGCCTATGAATCCACATCCATTAACCCTTATTTAGGTGTTTTAAAATCATAAGGCTCAATGGGCCAAAGTGAACAATATCAATAGTGGAATGAGTTGTTACATATGATATTAGAGCCATTTTGCGTGATCTCTTAAACAACAGTAGGGTAAACTTGAGTGAGGATGCTCAAATCCCACATTAACATAGCATGTGGCAGATATTGAGTATATAAATCAACATCTATTAACCTTTATTGATGTGTTTTGAAATTATAAGACTTAATGAGTCAAAGCGAACACTATCAATAGTGGGTTGTCATATTGACATGTTTTAAAACCATGAGACTCAATAGGCCAAAGTGAACAGTATCGATAGTGGGTTGGGTTGTTACACCTTAAAACAAGCAATAAAAGAACTCCCACAAAAAAGAAACTATCAAAAATATAGAGAAACTCCCATCTTTATTCATTTTCTTTAACCATCAAGGGAAAGAAACATATAGCTAGGGAATTAAGAAAGAAGGAGAATATTTGGGAGACAAGGGCAAGTCGCTAGGGAAATCGATATTGGAGTAGATAGATTTGTAGAGATGGAAAATTGATGCTTTAAAATTGAAGGGTTTATAATACACTTAATTAAATTAATAATTATAAACAAATTATTAGTCTTCATGATACAAATATGTTCATGTAAAAATTAGAAAAACTCACAGAGATTTCACACACGCAAAATCCTCCAAAAGTTCACACGCGATGCCTCAATTCTGTTTCCTAAAGAAATGATGGCTTCTCCTCCCACTAGCTTCTGTTTTTCTTGTAAAAACTTAGATACCATATTGACAAATCAATAGGTCTTATATATAGGGAGCTTGTATAGTTAGACTAGAATTACAAATAGTATGTTGCGTGGGACTCCTTTTTGGGATCTTAATCTCTTAGCAAATTGAATTTAAATCAATTTAGGATTGTAATAAAAAAACCATTAGTAGATAACAATCTTATCTAAGAAATTATAGATAAAATTGTGAGATCTCTCAAACCACAATATTTACATAATAGTCTTTCACCAACTAAAATTCCATACAAAGTCTAATTGAATTAGAATTCTTATAAAACTGTCATCTAAACTTTGTATGTGTGTTTCTTAAATATATTTAGACAATAAAAACAATTTAGAAAATAAAATTTTGATAAAATTTAATTTTCTAAAACTAAATTAAAATATTTATTTAAATTGACCAGCTGGATTTTTATCTAATATAAAAAAGATACAAACTTGAATATTCTCTCTTACGATAAGAGTGGTGGTTTCTTATTAGATGACTATAAATCTTTATGTACTTATTATATAGTCTAATATGTCCGTATATATCCCATTTATTGGGCATCACTAGTTGACAATATCAAAACTAAATAACTTATACATAAAATTAAATAACATCTTCAGGTCTAAGGACTTTTTATGAATTGTGGATAGAATAATCTTTTATTTGACAGTAAATAACTTAAGATTATTCTATATGGTCCAGTTCAATATTTGTCTTATACAAATACTCACTATGTTACTAAGAGTCTCACTCTAATGGTTGAAATTTATCATTCTATCACTTATAGTAATACAACATGTGACAACCAAATTAAGCATATTGTCCAAAGTATGCTTATGGTTGTGAACAATTTTAAGATCATCAAATCTTTTCATTTGATCATCCCTATAATCAATATATTAATATATGATCTAAGAATAATAACATTTATTAAATCACTCAAAAGAAATATGCAAGTAAATAAATAAATACTAATGATGGCTTTGTAGGGCATACAATTCTTTCAAAAACAAGTGTAATTTTTTCCATTAAGGCTTCAATTACGGGATATATTATATATGTCATAACCCATGGTCTCAACACCTTAGGGAGCGTCAACATCTAGTGCCTTTAAGATAAATGGTTTGTTCCATTCGAACTATACAAAAGAAAATATAGTCTAAATTATAATAATATTAAAATACCCTTAACAAATAAGAGTTGTCATATGGTATGAATTATTGTAATACCTACACAAATATTGTGTGCGCATGTATTTTTTTTATGTTTTTAAATACTTGATTACCATTTTGAATGATTTGAAGAGCTTGCATGGTTAAACCAAGATGGTATTCAACGGAAGGAATTTCATAAATATTTATTAATTTTGGCTATTTAAATTCACATAAATATTTATATTATATATATTTTTATTAATTTTAACTAATATTTTATATACTTTTTGGATAATAAAAGACAAAATCACCAATATCTATAGTTACAACACAGCATAATAGGCAACACTCCCAAACAAAACCTTTATTCTCCTCCTCTCCTCATCTCACTCTTCGATTTCCAATCATCGTTCTCTACTCCATGGCCTCCAATCCTCCTCTCTTCCCCCAACCCCCAAACCTTCTCTATTCCCTCTCCCACCCAGCCTTTCCTATTAACAACCACATAAAATTCAAAAGAATGAAAATTAAGTGAAAAGATAAAAAAAAAAAAAAAAAAAGTTGCTACTTGCCATGTTATAAAGTAGAACAAGTCTCCTAAAAGTCTAGAACAAATATGTGTGAGATTAGGATCTAAGAGTATTGTTAGAAGTGAGAAAAGGCATATGCATAGCTCACAATTCTCTGTACAACATATAGTTTTATATTTTAAAATGCAGAACTGATTTCAACTTATAAACATTTTTTAGCTAATAGACTTAAGTGATACAATTTCAAAATGCATGGACATAATTGAATAAAA